CCTGCCAAGGCAGGGGGTCAGACTTGATGATCTGCTCATGTCCCTTCCGACCCTTCCAACTATGAAACTATGAAGCCCACAGAGAGTGAGTGAGCTGGTTAGGGCCCCCACAATGGGAAGGGTCTGGATACACAGGAAAGAATAGAAAGCAATGGCAGCAAAGCTAAGGGGCAGATTTTCCTGTCTTTACTCCCAATGAATTGCCATTAATCCCGGGAATAGTCCCACTAAAATCCAAGACGCTACTTGCAGAGTAAAGAAGTAGTAAGCAGAGGTAAAGGCAACAGAATCTGTCCCTAAATTGTTTCTTTGCATCATTTTTTTTCAACAGAGGGTGATGGAGAAATATTTCCCCCGAAGATGCTCTTCACACATAGCAAAGGTGAGGACCAGTCAGATATGGAACCAGCTCTAGATGTTAAATTGCAATCTCTGGGATTGGATGCGACTAATCTGAGTATTTTAGAATAAGTCATAGCCATAGTATCTGAGCTTCTAATCACAATATTAAAAACATGTTTATCCCTGGGGAATGACTGGTGTTCAAGTATTGTGCCTACACTAAAATATTAAGCTAAGGGTGCTTGCGTATGATAGAGGTATGTGAGCCTTAAGGTGACACAAGGAAAAGCAGATAGGAAAATTAATTTAAAGCGAGATAAAGGACAAGGATGGTAGGGAGGCAAGCTAGTATTGTTGTGTAAGTTAAAATTGTGTCTTTCTAACCTACTGCAATTCTTGGAGAGCACAGGAGAAGGCTTGTTAACTTCTTCAAAAGGCTTTTGGTTTGAGGCCACTCACAAAAAGATGTGAAGGAACTTTGGTAACCACCTGGTAAGCTATAATACATTGTGATAGATTTAAAAATGATTGAGACAGAGACTTCCAAATAAGGAGGTTTTTGAAAAGATAGCCTACTTGGTTTGGAATGGAGAAAGCAGAAGTACATAGTAGAATTCAGATTATCCACAAATCTCAAAGGGCATCCAGAAATCTTTGTATAATCAGGGAATCAAGCCCAGCAAGCTCAAGTCCATTGTCTGCTCACAGGCCAGCTTTATACGTTATAATGATGCCCAAGAGAGCACAAACCCAATTGCTTTGCTTTGCAAGTTTTCTTTAAAACAGAAAAGGGGAAGTATTTTTTTCAACATTTAATTAAAAGTGCATGTAAACAACTAGAAGATTTCAAGGCAAATGTCTTAAAACGAATGAAATGATTAAACAGTTGTGAGTCATTTTTCAAACTGGGATGGCAAATCTGTAGATAGGCACGCAACTGTGAAACCGCTACTTCAGTAATCTTAACCCAGTTAGACACCAAATTTTTGGAATGCACATTTGAAGTCTGGGCCCTTACCATAAAATATCTGCGGCTATATTAGCTACACTAACATTTAAAAGGACTCATGTTTCAAGGTAAAGGTGATCACAAGCTGAGCTTTGAAAGAAGTATCTTTTCATTGTATAATACTGAACAATTACAAATTTAATCAGGAATTTTACACCTTGCTCTGAAACATGTGGTCATGTACCTCTGACAAAGACAGGAGTTGGAATTAGATGGACATTTCGGCAATCTCAGTACGGCGATTCCTGTGTTCATTAAATCAGTATTAATGCACTAGAGGCATCTGAAGCATAAAGATTTCTATTTAAAGTGGATGATATATTTGTCTGTGTACTTAATAATAATTTGTCTGCATACATTTTGTTAGCACATGAAATCAGAAGTGCACATGGTAGTTAATTTTGCATACATTTTCTACTTTTGTCATCTGTTTTAGTCATCTATAACTTTTCAAAACTTTCACTTTTGTAGACCTAAGAAGTCTGAAAAGGGAGAGGGCTGGGGAGGCAGGAAAACACTTTAGCTTTAGAAAACCATTTGAAAAAAAATAACACTAATAACTGGGAGTGGAAAGTTGGCATTTGCTATGGAAAATGGCCCTTGCCCAGAATACTTATCAGTGAACTTTCTAGTGAAAACTTTTGGATGGATTAAGTTCTGAAAACAGCCCCTTGCACAAGTGTGATATAATTGCCATATTTTTGTCTGCATTTTCAGTACCGTTTAGTGTCCAGAGAGTCTTTCCATTGGCTTCAGTGTGGACTTTAGATCAAGCAAGAGAAATCTATTACATAGATTACTTGGTCAGCAGATGATGGATGTTGTTGATGAATGTGTGTCCATTTACCAACATATAGTAACTTTACATGATACAGTTTGTTGTCCCAGATGGTTTCTGAGCTGGGGTTTTCATCTCCCATAAAAGTAAAAAGAGATAATGTCTAAGACTGCATCCAAAGTCCCAACGAAACAACCAGTTTGCATAATATCCTCTGGTAACATGGACTGCAACAGGGCATCACTAGCAGAACTTGCATTTTAACGAAAAAAATTTTTTGGAAAAGGTTGTTTTATTTTCCAAATTGGAAATCCTTGTAAAACTATTTGGAATAGATTATGCCCCTTATTTTTGACAAAACTGTAAAATGAAAAAAATATGAGTTTATATTTTCATTTTCATTTTTTCCTTTACTCCCTTGTTAACTCTCCCCTTTTTCTCCTTCCATCTTTCTCCCCTTTTTTCAGTAGCAAATTGGGAGGAGGTGAGACAGAAAATGAATACTAAACAATTTCAAAATAGAAAAATTGTGAATAAACAACAACAAATCATTGCAGAACTTGTGGAACAAAATGATTTAAAATGTTAGCACTGTTTTGAGCAAATATTTTATATTGTTTTCACCAGCTCTATTAACTGATACTGAGCCTTTATATGTTGCCTATAATTTATTAAGAATCTGTGGGCATCGACTGCAAATGCACAAACAACAGATCTTTGCCATAATGCTGTGTTATATAAATTTATGCTGAGACTTCTAAATAGCCATTTTCATTGCTTGTATTTCAG